TGAATTCATCTCGTGTAGGTCAAATAAAGTGATCCTTCCTTCCAGTTGATTCTGGAAGTAGGCTTATTGTTTAAAAGTAGTAAAAGCCGTTAAGTTTTTCAACGGAATTAGTCTGTCGGTGTTAGTGCTGGGTTGACACCCTGCTTATATCTTGGAGAGGAAGTGCTTTATGCAAACATTGAGCTCATTTAGTGATGATGTCATCATCAACAATTTCTTTTTTCATAACGGACATTATCATATTATTGAAATGTCAAATTTTTAAATTTTGCCTGGATTCTACTTCTTGGTTGATTAAAAAAGGGGCGTGATACCTGATGATCTGCGTGGGACAAATTACATGTAAGTCCTGAACCCCAAACAGGAAGGGTGATGAAGTCAATGACAACACCAGACCCTTAACTTGCAGATCACACATGGTGTCATTCACCGATGAATGTCATAGTAGGTTTGAAGTGTTTATCATACAGTACTCCTTTGAGTCACAGTTATCAAAAGTGAAATTCATTTTTTGCCAAAATGTTCAGGATAGTGCAACAGATGTTATCTATAGTAGTCTTGTAATCTTTTTTCTTAAATTTTGTACACAGAAAATGTGAAATGTGCAATCAATCACTGTTATGTTAGATATTATCAAAGAATTTTGTTTTTTTAGACAATGCATATTTATGATTATGCAAATAAGGCGGGGTTTGTGGACTGATGTGAACAGAGAATACACTCTTTAAGGCCCTATATCTCCTGAAGTACATGTACGATTGGGTTCTAATCTTGCAGATATCTTGAATAGAGAGTGCTTTAACCACCACCTGCCAGGGACTCCGGAATTGGAGACGTATGTTTATATGCGTGGCCAGGGTGTCCGAACTCGGACAAAGGAAACAGGGCCCTGTAATAAAAGACCGTACTCCAAACAAAACACAAGGTTGCTGGGCATTACCGACATTTTTCACTCTCAAAAGTAGTGATTATCCAGCCTTGTTTTGAAATCGTATACCAGGGTTTGGGGCGTTGAGAGCCAGCGGATTACCACCGGGGACAAAAGCGTTCCACCACCGCAGTGATGAGCCACACAGCACCGCTGCATGCCAATCTGGCCCCTATTGAAAAGAGGTCAGCAGTGCACTGAGCCAGGTTCGTGAACAAAAGACAGTTATACA